GAGGGATCTCAATTACCCCACATGTATGGGAAAGCTCTTTTGTATTCTTCTGGTTTACTAGGCACAGCCAAACTGGTTGCATTTCTGTTTGAAATCCTGCGTACATAATTTGATCAAAAGCCTGTAATAGGAACAAACCATATCCTCAGTTGATAATCTTTCATTTATCTGTTATTTAGCTTGTTTATTTTGCACCTTTAACAGTAATATTTGATTAGCTACATGAACTTTTCTGTTGGCAGGCAACATAATATTTCCTTCTGGCTGCAGCACATTTATTCAGCATGTTTTATTGTACATCTGTGTGCCTGCTGGGCTCCAACAAAATTGGCACAGCAGTGAAAGCAAAGAAGCTGCTGAGCTCTCCAGGCTTGGCTGGATATCCTGATATAACTATTCTTTCACTTTGCAATTATACCAGTCAGTTGACACTACACTTAGAAATACTGATGAATTTGTATTTCACAGAAAAACTTGAATGGCATTCAGGAAGTTAAGGCACATGATGCAGAAATAGCAAGAGCAAGCATTCAGATTACAGTTCTCCATGTGTCTTTGAATGAACCACTTTCTACTGATATCCATACAATATTCAGATTACATCCATAGGAAAGGCTTAGTCACTGTTCTGCAGAAAGGCTGTGAGAGAAAATGGAAAAGAACCAGAAGGCAGACCTGTAAGCCAGTAAATATGATTTTCACATTACTAGGAAAAGTGACAGGCTTTGATCCATCCATGAAGGATTTTTCTGCACTTGTCTTGGCCTAAGCTGATTTCAGCTTGGTTTAGCTGTGACAGCAGTTGTCCAGCAGCCAGGGAATGATTGTATAACTTGTTTTTAGTTAGCTCTGTGAATACCACGTACAGTAAAGGTGTTGCTGACCCCCATAGACAGGCTACAGAGGCTACTGTGTATCTTTAACTAAGACAGTCAAACAAAGATAGTCAACTTCTAGTTGGAAACCAGTGAAAAAAGAGCAACTAAGCAGACTATGTTAGCAACCAAAGAAAAGGGAACTCCAGCTCAACCCAAGAATGAGAAAGAAAAAACTTATCTCCATCAGCAACATAGCCCTCCTGAGAAACAACTTGGTGGACACCAGTCAATGACTCCACACCCCCCCTCTCCCTGTTCTTGTGGAAGACAGGTACCATGGACATGAGACTTGTGGGGCATTGCAGTGTGAAGAGAACTCTACTAGGAAGTATATGTCAGCAATTTTAATGCAATATTAATGAGGCTTTTTGTAATAATTTGGACACTATTATTGTAACTGGACTAATAATTTGTTTGTTATAGTCTGATTAGACTGTTACAGCCTTAGCTAGCCAAACAATGTCTTCCTGACTTTGTGTATAAGGTGTGCATTCCCCTTTGGACCCTAATAAGACTTGAGTGTAACAAAGACTGCGAGCAGCTTTTCTGTGAAAGCCTTTATGTGGATGGCAGTTTCCAGTGATCACAGAAGACCAAGAATGCAACTAATGTGTTCCTGTGGTCCTGGCAAGCATCTTGCTTATACTCCATCTCTATTTTATAGGAAGTGTTGGAATTGGGGAACAGGGTTGCTCAAGCACTCACAGCCCAATTTTCGTAACACAGATACTGACCAAGAGTTTGCAAACTTTTAAGTGTTAACACCAAAACTCTCCTGTAAAGAGATCAAGTGAGACAGCATATGGGCAATGTGGTCAGTGACACGTAGGCTAGATCAGGAAATTCAGATTTCAAAAGCAAAGGCAAGAAATTAAAAGCTGAAATAAGAGCCTGCTGAGTTAAAAAACTGAGAAAGTAAAACCCTAGAAGAGATTGAAGCTGTAGAGCAACATTAGGTGCAAAGCAAGGCATGGACACGGCTCTTACCGAAGCACCCTCTTGTGATGATGCTGACTTAGCAGATAGTGCTTAATGGTTTGATTGAGATAGTGACCCTTCCACACAGAAGTATAAAGCTAAAAGTCCCCATGCCTCTGATACTGAAGTGCTGCCAGTGTTCAGAGTGACTCCTGTATCACCCATCACTACCTGGGTTACTGTAAAAACAGAAGATGGTTACACAGAAGGGAAAGGAGAAATACAGAACCAGAGTCAGACTGAGTTGTTAGGGAAGAAATAATGATTACTGCTCATCAGATTCCAGAATAATTAAGAGTCTTGGCCCCAAAAGCAGATCCTTCAAACAAAAAAACCTGTGTATTAAATGGCTTCTTAAGTTAGATGCTAATACTGGTTTAACCATGACTGATCAAGAGAATTCCTCTTGAGCATCTGCTACAGCTTCTGGGTGGACTCACGGAATAACTGATAGAGATGCAATCTTTGCAGTAGGAAATGATCATTATAAGTGGGTACATCACATTGTATTATATGTATTAGCACAAGCCACACATAACAGTAGAAATGTATGTGGCATGGAAAAAGTTGTCAGCCCATAGTCTTCTAAACAATAAAGGCAGACAACTCCCAAGTTGTGACCAGGTTGCATTTGAACACTTGTGTATGGCCTAGCCCCAGGACACTAAACACAGCTATAAAGCAGGGAAGGGATTTTCAGGGGAACTTAGACAACAGTGGGATCTACCCAAGACATGGAATTATAACAGTTGTGCTAGGAAGAGTCTGGAGGAGTACAATTATCCACTACCATCTGCCCCATTGCAAAAAGAGCTCCACAACAGAGAACCAGCTGAAAAACTGTAAGAACCTTTAGTTTTTGAAGCCATTGTAAAAACATAAAGGGACAGAAAAATGGTCAAGAACAGAACAGAGCAAATCACTATCACATTAGACTCAGAACAGATTACTATAATGCAGATGATAAGGCCCCTAAATGATGATACTGCATTGAAGGGGTGGTTAAACTAAAGTCCCATGCTTGACAGATAAGTATCTAGCCTGAGCAACAAACAGTGAATCAGACTGAGCAGTGGGATCAACTACTGCTTGGATAGAATTAGCAAAAGGGATCCAGCAAGCAAGGAGAATTATGAGAAATGAGAAAAGGGGTTAATAACACACTGGCATTAGTCCAGCCTGTAACATTTGCTAACAGGGCACTGCAGCAGTGGAACTGGAGAAGGAGGGTAAGCCTGAAGCAGGGTGTTAGTAGGAGTGCCCAATGTTGCATGCACCTTGCATATGGAAAAGCAAGGAAGGATAAAAAAGAGTAGTACAGAAGAATGAATAATCCATTTCAACCCTAAGGGTATTGCTACTTATAGGGTGCATTGATTTGGTTTAGCTGGTTTTGCTTTCTTTTTTTTTTTTTTTGTTTTATATGTATATATGAAGTGGAAAAGATACAATACTGGGGTTTCTTAGTCAATTCTCATGACTGAAGTAAAAATCAAGACCATCACATTCATCTATGAATAATGGGGAAAAATGGAACCAATTGTAAGATGTTCCCATCTCCAAGCAAGGGAAACCCTGTTTCTCTCAATGAGGATACACACGCCTGCCATTAATAACAGTGATCGTGATGACTAATATATGATGTTTGTATTTGCAGCATAAACATACATGGATGTGATCCTGTGTATTTATAAAACCATAATAATTTAAGTGCTACAAAAAGGAAAGCTTAATCAATTAAGTACAGAAATAATTACAATGGTAAATTTTATTTTAGAAGAATGTATGCTATTATATGTACATTTGCAACATTGGGACTGGGAAGACTGCATGTTTGTGTAGTGTTATATATGATGCCACAGATATAAAACAGCTATGTAAAAGTGGATGCTTCTGGGCTAGGTAGAAAACAGATCATGGTAGAAACCAGAATCTCCTCACTTACAGAGATATAAAAAACTACACACAAGTATGACATACAACCATGCACCAATTTTATGCAAAAGACTTTTTGTTATCAAGGAGCTAGCCAGATAATCTTAGAAATGTATAACACCATTGCAATTGTGTGTTCATCAAGTGCCTACAAATTATTGCAAATTATCTCATTGTGTATAATTTATCTGATAATAGATGCATCAGTAAAGTAACATTTGCTGAAGGATGTGGTTTTAATTACATCATACTTATAGAAGCAACACTCATCTCACAGGAATCATTGCAATTGTATGCTATGTTGGGCTCAATGTCTTTTGGAATTGCCAAGCAATTTTCAACAATTTTCAACCAATTGCCAGAAATGCTCTAACACCCCACTCCTACACCTGAAGTCTGATGTGGTATAGAAGCCATAAAGAGAGAGGGTACTGGACACTGAGAAAATCACCAAATAAACTACATTACTACCACAGTCCAAAATCCAGTGGAATTGCCTCTCGGAGTGATCTTCCTCACCTAGAAGAGTTTGGAACTTGGCTTTACATCCTAGAGTCATCATTTCAATCATTATACTGATTTTTCTTAGCTATAAAAATCAAATGTTAAGTATGTTATGGATATACATAACAATGAAGAACTACTGATTACTCTCAGACCTGTACAAGTTATCTCGAGGTAAGATCAGACAGAAAAGAACAAATGTCCCTGAGGTCTGCTGCCTCATCCTGATCAGTAGCCTTGAGATGTAGAAGGGTTGCAACATCCATTTTTGAATTGCAAAAAGTGTCTGTGAAGTGGACTAACAAAAGGAAGGATTATAGCCCTGTAGCCCCATAAGTATGATTTTGACATTTCTAGCATGCTAATAGAGCAAAGACATCATATCAGGCAACTAAATCTCATGTCCGAATTCAAGAAGTATTTGTGGGTGGGGTTTTTTTTAAGTACCAGGTTCTGTAACACTGAATGACATACATGAAATTAAACTTTTTTTTTAAAAATACTAGACCTTGACTTTCTGTTGTGTACAGCTATGCTGTCTTCCTATATTGGACCTCCAGTGGTGAGATCTGCAGGCTCGTTTAAGTGCACAGCACTGATTATCACCTTTTCACCTGAAGAAAGTAGCAACAGCAACTTTTTGTCTGCTTTATGATCTAGTTGCCAGGCTGGTAAAAAAACCCTCATTTTACCTGTGGTTTACACAACTCTCAGACACTATAAGTTACTTAAAATTAGTAAGCTGTTTATTTTAATAGCTGTAAGGGGCAATTAGTGTGCGCAAAGACAGATAGATTTTATACCTTCATCCTGAAAAGGAGAGAGAGACAACCCTGAATCACAATGCATTGATTCATCACAATTCAGGTCAACCATTTCCCCTTCATTTTACATCAGATATCCTACCCATTGTAAAGTGGTGTAAACCTTCAAAGACCCTTCAAAGATGCTATTCACTTTCACTTTACAATATCTTAGATACCCAGAAGGACTGCACTCTTTTTGCAAATCCACTTGTACAGGGAGTGACAGTTATCAGCATGCATTTCTGTCAACTTATAGGCAGCACATTTTTCTTCTTTCTTCCTTCCTTTTATTGTAAAACTGCAAGAGCCAAACAACAGACAGATATGAGGATCATTGAAAAAATTTGTTTGCATATACAGAGTGATACCAGCAAGACTGGGTATTCTTGTCTTTATGCTGTCATTAGTTCAATTCTCTGACATACAGACAGGTTTTATTTGTTTAGTAAGATTCACCCTTTCTCTGTTTCCCTACTTCTTATGCAGCTGTAACTGTAAAGCTTACACAGCATAGGCACCTCCTAATAAAATTACTTCCTTTTCTGAGAGCTGTCAAGGAATTTCATTTTTCAACTGGATGTTTTGATCAGAATTCTGTACTGAGAAAAATCAGAATAGGCTGAGCTGCCTAACTGGAGTATGGGCCCTGATATGTTACTACTTCTTTCTTGTGGTTTAATGGCTGAACAGCCCAGGCACGGTGAGTAGAGAACACATCACAGAAGCTAACATAGATTCACTCCAGAATGAACCTACCTGTGCCCTGGATGTTTGGGATCATTGAGCCATACCCATCTTCCTTCCCTCTCATCAAAGCTTAATCCAGTCCAAACAAAGCCAATGTCTTTATCCTTCATTTTGTTTAAGAAATCCTGGAAAGAGGTATGTCTTTGAACTCTTATAATAATGACACTTCATGAAACTCCAGCATCAGTAACTTGTAGTGGTAATTAATATTTTAAAACCAGCAAGGCTTTCATGCCTAAAGATTCCAGAGAATGTTTCCAAGAAACTGAGGAGACAACCTGCCCCCCCCAACCAAACTGAAAACCACATGGAAATTCATTCAGATTCTCAACTACAACCAGTACTGTGGCTAATGATGGTAAGTGGAGCAACAAAGGAGCTAACCTTTGGCTCCTTGCTGGCCCCAGGCCCATTCCACTAGCACATTTATTTTAGATGAGGATCAGGCTGATCTGAATTACAGGAGCTGAAGCTATTTCCTCTTTTCTTGCCACCTCACTCACCCTCCTGGGTGCTGTAGAAGTGACTGTCTGAACCTGGTCATGTTTAAGGAAAATCAGGAGCACAGAAGAGACACACTACAGGTTAGGATTTGGTCCACAGAACTGCTTTTTCTATTGCCGCAGACCTGGTACTGACATTTAAAAATGTACAAAGTACAGAGAAGCAGCTCCATTTCCCAAAGAAAGGCAACAGCCTTTATGACAGCTTAGTTCTGAACTAAGAATCCTTCAAATGCCAGCTGCTTCTTGCTGGAGGTAATCTCTAGGCATACCATTGCATCTATTTAAATGAAATGTAGGCTGTTGGTCTTCTGTTTCACACAAATGTTCCTTAACATGCAGAAGCTAATCGTCAGAGCACTTTCCACTGACAATGCCTTTTATGAGCATATCTGGATTAGAAATGGCTTCTAAAAATACATGGGAAGCTATACTTTGATACGTGGATTCACAAGGTATAAGTAAAAAGAATGTTTAAACCACAGAGTGCCTTACAAGCTTACCATTTCAGTCTTATCCTCTATAACCAGGAGGTCAGATTTTTTTCCTGAGCAATACTTTCTACTATTTTCCCAGGTGTCACGAGTTTCTGAGTAGAAATAACATCTTCCACAATGCAGCTTCCAGCCAATGGGGCAGAGTTCACATCTGGAGTCTGTGAAGAGTTTGGGGTGAAGGGATTTTTGTCATTTTTTTTTTTTTTAAACAACTGGTATCATTATTATTGCCTCCTGCTTTTTCTGCAGCTTTTGAATAAGTGAGTAAAGAAGCTTTAAACCAGGGGCAGGGCAGAAATTGTGATGGTATAGCTCATTTTAAGAAAGCACGTTGTCCCTGCTGTACAGTGATAACAAGGATAGTCATTCTTTGATTAGGGATCACTCTGTGCCTTTAAATATTTCAGAACTCTAGATAATTGTGCTAAATATTTTGCATAATAATTGGGGTAAAAGCCATGGATAAAATCCCAGCTTTGCTGAAATCATCGGGAATAGTACAATTCAATGGCATCCATGGAGAAATAACAAAGACCTTCAGTAACACTGCTCCGCTTTTATTCTTTGCTTTAACTAAAATTTTCAAGGATGGAACTCTAAAAGAGATCACTTTATACATCTTTATCAATATAAACATGCTTATTTTGGTATCTAAAGGTCAATTCCTTTGTGCAGGTGTTTATTTTTATATTAATCTTTTCAAGAGCTTCAAACCATTTATGCTACTATGAGCAAGACTTTATCTCCTTACCATTTGTATGCATGCATAAGCTCTCCTTTAATGTAGTCAGTAAGCTGTTTTCATGAAGATCTTCCTCAAAGGTACTGTCACTTTCAGAAAGATTTTCTCCGGGCTTCCACATGTCACTTGATAGCAAGTCACCTGGACAAGAATCTCCAGCATTTTAATGTAAAGCTCACAAGCAAACTGTATAGAAACCCCATAGTATTTTTCCATGGATAATAATAGGAGCTTTAAGTGGAAACTCAGATTGCTCTTTTGTCCTTCCAACTCTCCTGTAAATGGAGGTGGAGAGTTGGGCATCCAAATCATATACATTAAACAAATACATGAGGTGACTGACTTCACAAAGACGGTGGACAGTCCGTTATCATCACGCTTTTGACAACATGGTATGCAACAGTTGTCTTTCAAATAACATGGTTGTGCCTTTGATTTTCCAGTTCCCAAAATTTGCATTGAGCTTATTTCAGAAAAGAATGGGTTGATGTGAGAGGGCAGGATTTGCATCCAGAGAAAGGGAGAACAGCTGACTCTGCAGAATAGTTATGCCCAGAAGTGCTTCTGAATTCTTTTTCTCCTGTGTTCTCAAGTGATTTTGATGTGCAAAGTGATTTGGATGTCCAGAAGCAGGCTTAACATTGGGACTACCAGGCCAAGATTTTCTAAAGGAGGAAACTAAAATTAGAGTCCTTGATCAATATTCAGATGCTTGTTGATGGCAACCTAAAAACTTGTTCAACTTGCTTGACCAGGGCAACTGCAAACATTTCTGATGTCTAAGTTTAGATGCTCAGGGATAATAGCACAGGTCTGTGCTGGATAGGTAAGATCTGTACATACATGATCAATGCTGGCAGCGACCCAGGGCTTCTGCACAAATTCTGTGGACAATGCAAAGGCCACTTTTATAAACTCAGAGGCATACATTTTTATTTCTGTTCAGAGAGGTCTTTTCCAACTATGTGTGCTGTCTTCCAGCCTTCTATCTCACCCATCCCTGAAGTCCAGCTCACATTCCCATTGTACACGCCGGGGAGGACTGGCTGAGACTTAAGGTAAGCAAAGCAGGGCTTCAGGAGGTAAAGACCGGCTGTGAGGATGAGGGGAGGCGGAGATAGCAGAGGTTCCAGTTGTACCATTATACCTGGAGTAAGTTCTGTTTCATTACTAAAAGAGTTTTTCCAAATTGATGGATAGATGGATTCTTTGGCTAGAAACCTTGGTGGTTTGTTTAGTTTCGGAAAGGAATAGGAGGGACTTTCAGATTGGGGGACTGGAAAATGAGAAAGACTCCAGTGCTCTTCATACACCCCGAACATGCAACAGTTCTTGAAAGCCACTGACCTTCTGCAGATCCACAGCCCCAAAATGCCAGTGACTCCCTCCCACCTTCATCAGAAACACAATAACAGAAAGCATGCCTGGTCTTGTCACCTTATCAAAACAGTTTGTCTGCAAAACTTGTTTAAGTTAAGGATTGATACATGTTGGTTTCGCAGGAATTAAAGCAAAACATTTCACTTGGTCACTCACATTGCTGAATTAATGTGATCACAGCTCCCAGAAATACAACATTCAGAAATCCTGAGAAAGCAGCAAGATACCGCAAGCCTGAAGAATTAGACGGAAGTTCTGAAAGAAATAAGAGGGTTTTACAAACACAGCATGATTAGTTACCCAGGACATAAAACTGGGTTTCTCTAGACATCTTTCAGGCAGAACGTCCATCACTGTCACTTTGCCATGTGCTTTGTCTCAGTTGCTTTTTCCCTTCTGGTTGCCTCCTGCATACCAAGGGGTTCTTGCTTCTAATAAACTTTCATTTATGAAAACTTTTGGGGGGCTTGAATTTCCTCATGCTGTCTTCACTGTTTGCCAGTTCATCTGAAGTTTTGAGTGGCTACTGAACAGTGTCTGCATCTTCATAGCAGGGGGATGTCATTTGCAGATATCCTGAAGACCGTTAGATATCACAGCAGCCACTTAACAAACATTGCAAAAGAAAACCTCACAAGCTTAGTGAAAAAGGAAGAACTGAAGTTTCTAACAGTTGCAGAGAAAGAGGTGTATATAACATGTAAGAACAAAAATGAGGTTCTAGGGCTATGAATACCAACACTATGAATCAAGAAAGGACCAGTAGATTCTCTGAGAATTAAACTCTGTAACTCCGGGACCCGCTAATTAGTTTTATCACCTGTACACTAGATGCCAAGACAAAGGCCTTAGCAAAGTCCACGTTATAATTTGGAGATCTTTTTTTTTTATTGAGTCCTTGATGTTCAGCTAATCCCACCTGGAAAATTATTACAAAATATTTGAAAAATTAAGTAGCAGTGCATTAAACAGGGCTTCTTTGCAGACTGGATGCTTGATTAAGGTCAGTGAATAGCAATGCAAAAATAAGCTTCCTTGCAACTCAAAGAAAATGACTTTTAATTAGACTCAGAAAAGCCTGGGGATGCAGTTATGGTGAATCTTCCTTCTCAATATTACCCAATGGTCTTAAAATTTTTTCTTGTAGGATTGCGACACTCCTGCCATACCACTTCCTAGTGAAACCCGCTGCTTCTGTTTGCTCACTCACTTTATTTCAGGATTTCTACATATCTTGACATAGAATCACAGAACTATGTAGGCTGGAAAGAATGTCAGGAGGCCATCTAGGCCAGACTCCTGCTTAAGGTGGGTCAGTTTACAGCAGGTTTCTCAAGGCTTTGTCCAGCCAATTTCTAAATATCTCCAAGGATAGGGATTTCACAGCCTTTCCAGGCTCCTGCCCTAGTGTTTGACCACCACCACAGTAAGAAAAATTTTCTTGTATCGAATTGTAGTTTTCCATGTTCCAACTTGTGTCTTTCAATGTGCACCTTCAAGAAGAGTTTGGTTCTGTCTTCTCTACACCTTCCCATTCGGCAGTTAAAGAGAAAGGTAAGACTCCCTTTAGCCTTCTCTGCTTAGGGCTGCACAAAGCCAATTGTCTCAGCCTCTCCTGTGTCACTTCTGCAGCTCACTCACTATCTCAGGAGCCCTCCACTGGACTCATTCCAGCAGGTTGTCAGTGTGCTTTTGGAAGGGGTAGTGATATAGTTAATGTAGGCTGCAATACAGGAAAGCTTTTTAAAATAACTGAGGCATAAAAGATGTTCTGAGATACCTCAAATGATTCCTTGGAGCAGGGAGAAGAGATGGAAGTTGCCCAGCTGTGCAGGAAATGTCATGTTAATTTTTCTTCCTAGCTTTCTAAAATTAGTGTTTTCAGGAAATACTTTGTGAATGTTCTTCTAGAAAGACCAAGGCCTAACACACTGTTGTCTTTGTCCAAACGTAACTTCATGGGAAAAAAGATTTTACATGCAAACCTTCCGTGAGTTAGGACCCAGGAATAAAGTCAGAGAATAACAGAAGGATGATTTTCCGTTTCATGCAAATGGCCATTCTTGGAAGAGAAAACAGAGTGCCAAAATGTTATACCTTGTTGAGAACTTGTTCTCTGACTAGTTAATCGTTATCAGGAACTACCCCATGGAAGTATCCTTTAAAAGCCATTACATTTCAAATGCTGGTGGTCCAGATCAGATGTGAATCAGCTGTTTGAAAAGTTCTCTGCTTTTAACACTGTTATTTTCTCTGCTTTTAACACTGTTATTTCAAAAATGTAATGCATGGATCTGTATTTCAAATTATGAAATGACTTGACCTTTGCGCTACGTGATAAACTCATTTCCACTAACAATTTCACTTCATGTCTTGTTTCTAGCTATCACTGTTTTGCACAGAGGTCAAACATCTTTTTTCCTTATTTGTCTATTCAATCATACTTACTTGGGAAATGCTGTATCTGTGACTAGTCATCTTTAAATATTCAAACAGCAAATCCCCACTGTTTTTACATCGCCACCCTATTCATATTGTCCCGGTTTCATCTGGGATAGAGTTAATTTTCTTCTTAGTAGCTGGTACAGTGTGTTTTGGATTTAGTGTGACAATAATACTGATAACACACCAATGTTTTAGATGTTGCTAAGTATTATGTAAGTATATGTAAACAGAATGCAGTACTTTTCACTAGCTATGCAACATGTTATGGTTAAGCATCTGAATGCATTTCCTTCTTCCTTTGGGTGCTATGCAGTGATTTTGACATAAAAAAGGCATTTAGGATATCTGGGGTCTAACCGTAACTCTACCATGATTTGCACAATGGCTAGACTGCAGGCAAGACGGTAACAGTGACTCCTGTAAATACTCAGATTAGCACTTAGCTACCCAAGGTGAGCTCTGGTAGCAGCAATAACCACAGAGCTGACAAGGCAGCATGGGGTAATAGCTCAGCGTTTGCCCAGCTTCTCAAGACAGCTCTGCAGCTTGCACCACTGGCAAGACCGGATGGGAGTGCAAGGTGGAAGGGGAGCTCTGCATTGTGGCCTTCCTTCTGTACCACATGAACTGGCACAGATACTGCACTAGATTACGCCAATGAGGCATTGCAACCATTTCTAACCACTCCAGCGAATACACTTCTGTATTCCATATGTATATCATGCTACCATGACATGTGTGTGTCTGGTGTAAAGCTAGCTCGCACACCTTACACTACAAGCAGAGACTTAGCTTGCAGTACATTCTTTAACAAGCTAAATTAAAGCACTGTTCTCTTCTGCTGCCCCGTCATGTACGTGCTACCCAATCATGCAGGTAGACAATGAAGACAGAGCATTTTAAACCTGGCTTTGTCACTGTGTGCTCTGCATGTTTGTGCTCACATACCATTCTGTGTATGTGTCACAATACGCTTTGTCTGACTTATGGAAATATTCAGTCTACTCCATTACAGCAATGTGTTTGTGCAATTTGACAAATATTGTAAAGATCATTGAAAATTCTTAGTTAAATAAATATTAGCTTTTATGATCAGTTTTCTGGTTTTTTTGTTTGTTTTTTTTTTTAATATTGCTGGTTCTGTGCTTTGACTACAGTTGGGAACAGGCTCTCAGCTAAGTTGTAATAATAGACAAACCGGCACAATTTACGTCAATAAAATTGCACACAGTTTATCCTGCCATACTGAGTAACTGAAGTTGGCTTTTGCTTTTTTTCTATTAAAAATTTTCTCACATAAATGTGCAGCCAGGATTTCTCAGGAACCGATCATCATAGCTAATTAACTGTTTGGAAACTGGATGTCTAATTGCTCTGAAGACTTGCTATTTATGATCTGAGAAGCTCTTCCCTGGGACACTTAAAAGAAATAAAGGTTCGCAAGGGTGAGCTTCAAAGACTTCCAGCATACATCATTGTACTTTCTCCCATGCTGTTCCTGACACTTTTGACAAAATCCCCAGAAGTTGTTGAAAAAGCTTACCAGACAGTGCGTTACTGTCTTACAGTTTTCATCTAAATTATTCTTAAATTCTTCTTAGCTGTGATTCCTGAAAACAAAACAAAAAAAACCAACCAAAAGCCCCAGAGAAAACTTAAATGGCCAGTGAGCTGAGACCACTTCCAAACTTGCTGCCAGCTACTGCCTCATGTTTTTCTTATATGCCTCTGTCTTTTAGTCTCAATTTTATAACTGGGACTGTCAGCACCAGTACTTCAGGTCTGTTGGTACTATTAGTACTGCATTTTATCTACCGTCCATCATATTTCTCTGTATACTGCCATGTATCATTGGCAACTTTAGTAGCACCAACTAAAATTTTGTCTGATTTGTGGGGTTTTTATGATAAGTCAAATATGAGATTTGTTATTTACAGAATAAGCCTGAAGGCATACCATAAATGCTTATATGCTCACCTGCATTGGAGCTTTTCTTCCTTCCTTTGAAATGAAGTTCTGTGTAACCCTCTTCATTCTCCATCTCAAGGTCTTTTTATCACTTCTTCCTGTTGAAGACTATTTGACTGTTAGTGTCAAAGTAGGTTATGAGAAATGCTTCAAATAAGTGTGGTAAACAGGAAGGGGACAGCGGATAGCCATTTGTGCTTTTAGCTGAAGCCATGCAGTAGCAGGACTATGAAAAGGAACTTAACAGCATAAACTGCACAGACAAATGAACTCTTTTTCTCTTCTTTTTCAGTTCCTCTTTCTCTGACAAATCCCAATCCCTTCTAACAAATACTAACACTGCATTTTCTCCAATGCAATATCCCAGTCCTCCAATGCAGTCTTTCGATGTACGCACACTCTTGCATGAGAGAATAGATTTGAGTCCCTCAAGCCTATTTCACTGGACTGATAGACTTTTCTCATTTACTTTATATTAAAATCAGCTGTTTCAATTTCTGTGTTTTTCTCAAATGCTGAGAATTAATCTTGCTTTACCAAAGGAAGATTGTGTGTGTATGTCTCATTAAATAGATGGAAATAGCATTTAAATACATGTATTGATCTTTGGTTCTGCTTTGTGCCTGTCCACTTGAGCAACTGTTCATAGATTGAGCAACTTAATGACTTTCTTTAAATGGAGACTGAAGCAGATCTGTTCAAACATCACAGTATGCAATGTTCCTGTTGCACTTCAAAGGGGCAAGCCTGGGCTTTATGTATCGGCAAGGAGGTGTTTACTTTTAAATTACTGTGCAAGGTCTCTTCCAAGCTGGGGATTCTAGCAAGTTCTAGTGAAGTCCTAGTCTGGAATCTTTCTTTCTGGAAATTGAGGATTCTGCAGAAAGTTGAAAGTTTGGGTTTTTTTTTTTTTTCTCCAAAGTGGTTATAATGATTTCTGGCTGTTGTCAAATTCACCAGAACAGCTGTGATTATTAGCAATGGTCATTTAAGCGTGGAAACCAAAGTAACTTTACCTCAGCTTCTATATTGTGATTAGTACCTGAAAGCCAGGGTCAAGCTGTATGCAGTACAATCACATACCTCTAAAAAAAAGTGATGTCCAGAGAAGTCTTTCAAACACAAACATACTACTTGAGGCTGATAGATCAATATGAAACAAAAGGTACTGAGTGACCAACAGATATAATCTCCGTTTCCACAAAGTGGTAGAACTTACCATGCAGCATCACAATGCTAAATAACTCTCCTGTATCCGGTGTGGACAAACTCTTGCTGTGTTACCAGCTTTCTGAATCATTTTCTCAGAAGGTGCTTGGAGGACAGAGTTTGAATATGCAGTTTTTGACTGTTTCTAGAACAGCACTCGAATGATGTACATGCTATAGCTTTTATGTTCACCAGATACAACAGCTGGTCTAAAAAAAGATACAACTCCAAATAAGTCTTGCTTCATTTAACACACTTAGATTCTTCTGCATCCAGCACCACAACAGATATATGGAACTTACTGTAAGGTAAACAGAAACAACACAGAAACTAAAGGTTCACAATCTGATATATTTCTTTATATGATGCTTTTTTTTTTTCCCCTGTCATGGTTTCAGGACCTGTGCTGTGATTTTTTAAATGCATGGCTCCAACTGCACTGGAATTACACACACATATCAGTCATTTTTAACCCAAAGCTTTTTGGGAACTCATTTCTAACAGGAAGGTAGAGCCTCTAAAATGCCAAAACTTCTTCCGCAAACAACATTTCATATTCGCAAGTTCTAGATTACAATTATTTTGTAAATATCTATTTCCAAATCTATGTTTGAGGAAGTATTACTGCTTTTAAACTAAAATAAAACCCAATATGAAATAAGAAGAAACACAGGATGAAACTTCACACACTTCATCAGCAAAGAAAAGGTCAAAGGAAGTTTTCTCCCTTTTCATTTTCATTGGGCAGATTTCTGGAATAAGACTCTGTCACGAATATTTGTCTATTAAGGTGCAGACCACTGCTTTCTTTATGCACACCCCCTTCCTTGCTAACAAGCACCTAGACGCAGCTATATCATCTGGCTACGTAGAAATATATTCTCCCAAGCCCTTTGCTTCCAGTGCTTAAGGAAGGATAAAGGGACGTATGAAGACTACAGAAAAGCTGCCCTGAGACCCCGAGGGCACCACCAGCCCTGCCTGTCCCTGTCCCAGTCCCCGGGGCTCCCCCCACCCTGCCCACAGCCCAGGACCCCATGTCAGCCCCCCCAGGATTCCCCCTGCCTGCCCAAGGCCCAGGAGGCCATGTCAGCCCCCCAGGGCCGTCAGCCCCTGCCCCAGCCATGCCGCAGCAGGCCCATTCTCCAGCTGCCCACAGCTCTGCCCGGCCACGGGCTCCGCCAAGCTGGGCCCACCCGCAGGCCCACGCCGTGGCCCCACGGGGTGCCCCATGCCCGGGGCTGGGGCTGCCCCAGGCCCAGGCTGCCAGGCCCTTCCCCGCCACCACCGCCCCCGGCCCCTGGCCCCTCTGCAGCACCCTGACACAAGGGACGTTCTGCTGGCAATGGCGCTTTTTGAAGGATTATATCTGTTTATTGTTGTCTCGTGTTTTGGGGCCCAGGTGGCCGCAGCGGTGGCTGCAGGGGCGGCCTCTGTGAGGAGCAGCCGGGGCTGCCCCGTGCCGGACATGGCCCCATCCAGCCGGCTCCAACCCACCCACCGCAGGGCACAGCCGAGCCCCTCGGCCAAGGTGGTGGCTCCTGGGGGAAAACATATATAAGGAAGGGCAATAATACCACGCAGGCAGAGAGGAGTGAGAAAAAAGTGTGAGGAACAGCGCTGCAGACACCAAGGGGAGAGCAGGAGGAGGCGGAGGAGGTGTTCTAGGTGCCCGAGCAGAGGTTCCCCTGAAGCCCCTGGAGAGCCCACGCTGGAGCAGGTGTTTCCCTGCAACCCCTGGAGAGGACCATGCCGGAGCAGACATCCACACTGCAACCTAGGGAAGACCCCACACCAGAGCAGGTGGATATTTCCTGAAGGAACTGTAGCCCATGGAGACCCCATGCTGGAGCAGGTTCTCATGACGGGAACTGTGGTCTAGGGAGGACTCACGCTGGAGCAGGTTTATCCTGAAGGACTGCAGCCTGTGGAGGGACCCATGCTGGAGGAGCAGAACAGTGTGAGGAGGAAGGAGAGGCAGAGAGAAGCTGTTATGGACTGACCCCATAACCCACCATTCCCCATCCGCCTGTGCCACTCAGGGTGGTGGCTGGCAGGGATAGTGGAGTCAGGAATAAAGCAGTGAAGTTGAGCCTGGGAAGAGGGAGCAGGAGGAAAGTGTTGCTTTAATCTTTTTGTCTTCATTTCTAACTATCCAAATCTAGTTCAATTTGCACTAAATCAACTTTCCCCAAGTCAAGTCTGTTTTGCCCATGATGGTAACTGGTAAGTGATCTCTCTGCCTTTACCATAACCCACAAGCTTTTTTGTCTTATTTTGTCCCCTGTCCTGTCAAGGAGAGGGAATGAAAGAGTGGCTGGGTGAGCATCTGGCAGCCAGCCAAGGTCAACCCACCACAATCATCTTACCAGTATATATTATTTTTCTTTTTCCTTTTTTTCTTGTATATTTGCAAAGCTATGTAAGACTCTAGTAAATCAAAGGCAGTGGATCCTGTGGTTGTCTCAGGAAGCTCTTAAAAAGAAGAGCAAGGGAGCACCCATGTAAATAATGACAGAAATTGATTCCTAGGTGGATTATCCTCCTGCATAGGAACAAATCAGTTTTAAAAAGTCAAGTATCTGGTAAATACACTGTTTGAATATTATAGTATTTTGTTTCACTTGTACTAAATCCCCTTTACACTCTTAAACTAGTTTTTTAAAGTTTGGAGTAGAAGTATATCTACACATAAAGATTGCAGAAAACCCACCCAAGGAAAGGAAAAACAGTCTTTCAGGCTGAAAAGAATAACATCCCCCCTCAAAAATTAACCAAGCAATTGATGCATATGTGCAGTACACAGCCAATAATGATACAGCCAATTAACATGCATAATAAATCCTATGTAGCAGCAAAATATTAATCTTTGAGCAGCCCTTCTTGCTACAGTATTTTCAGGGATCTGAGTTTTTGACATCATTCTGCCAAGGACGGCATTATTATTAATTTTGTATACTGCAGCAACACTGTCCTGGAACAGTGAGTACCATACAAATGTATGACAAGATGGTGATTTTACCTTGTCAAAGCTTATTAGCTACTTCTACAAAAAGATATGCCAATGAGATGGATACAGAAGGAATATGGGGGAGGATGGAGAACACAAGAAGGGTAAACCAATAATGCTGTGCATGATGGGTGGTGATCCCATAAAAGTTAAGCTAAGCTATTACTGAGGTTTTAGTTCCACAGTAGTAGAGGAGAGCTTTGGGAAAGTACCAGAGGAAAGTCAAGGAGTAAGACATTTACAGGCAATGTCTTCCAGCTGTGGCAGAGGCCAGAGGGAAAAACACAGAGCTGTTTATTAAATAAGTTAGTAAGTTAAGTTAAGCTCAAGGCTGTTCACAGATTGGCAGTAGAACCCAATACCGATGTTGCAGGGATGAAGGTAAGAGACAGCCTTGAAAATGTAGATCACTGTCTCAACAGAAGGATGAAGCATGCAACTTGGCTCCAAACATCAAGCCAGGGCAGCAATCCAGGAAAATGTAGGCATGGTTATATTTAATCACGAGTGTCCACTTGGATTTTTTTGAGTATATGTGTACTTACAGTTGAGGTGCATAGTATTTTACAAGATCGCAAAACTAGTTCCTCTTATTTTTGCACGCTCAGAGAACTGGCTTTGTCTTTCTTTCAACCTGCCTCTTGTTTCTCAAGCAGACTTCACACTTCACATTTTATTTCAGCAAAAAGAAAACTTCAAAGCTACCACTTACACGCATATATAAAATGCTGTATCATTTCCTTTTCTTTTGTGAAGTCCAATCTATGCTGTAACTGAAAACACAAGCCTTCAAATTGAATTCTGGGAAAGGCAAACAAGCACCCTTTCTTGGCAATATGGTGTTGTGAATCCAA